AAACTCACAAACCATACATGAAACAGGTAATAATGTTTAAATATTTAGCAGATATTAAAAGTATGAAGCAAGCAACCAAGATTCATACACACACACACCACACACACACACACACACACACACACACACATATATGTATATAGTGCCGAAACGTTGCTACAACTTTAAAAGCACAACTACAATGACGTGGGAAAATACCCGAACAAAGCTGAATACCATATATATAGTTTTATATATATATATATGTTTTCTTAAGTTTTCGTGGGTACTTACATGTATGGTATTCAGCTTTGTTCGGGTATTTTCCCACGTCATTGTGTTCGCCAGACGAACACAATACAGAAGCCTGATGATGGCAGATGAGATTCTGCCAAAACATTGCTACAACTTTAAAAGCACAACTATAATGACATGGGAAAATACCCGAACAAAGCTGAATACTATATGTATGTATGTATGTATGTATGTATGTATGTATGTATGTATATCCCAATGACTTCGGTTGGACTTTCTCTCAAGAAAATATGCATCAGATTACACTTTAGTTTATATGAATATATGTATATAAATATTATCTAATATTGCATGTAGCTTTGTTTTTCTTTTGAACTTTCTAAAATTGAACAAAATAAAAACAAGTATATTAAGTAATATGCCTGAGCTATCAGGAAAAAATTATTTGAATCATTAATTTAATTCAGAAAAATTGAATCAAATCTGAAAGTTAACCCAGTCCAGATATTCAAAATAAATTGTTAAGTGTGTTTCCTATTAGCTTTTTTTTTTTTTTTTGGGGGGGGGGGGGGGGATTTCAATTTTATACTGAAGCATCAAAGTGATCAGAAAAGAATCAGAAGCATTCAATTTGATGTTTCACTTTGACTTTTCAATTAAATTCAGAAAGTCAATTCAGAGATTCAACCACATCATCAGAAATTTGATTGCCCACATTTCTTACTTAACTCTATATTTAAATAAATCTGGCACCTTTTGCCATTGCTACTGAACAAGAAATCTAGCAACATGGATTTTGCTTGATGTCTTTATTTCTTTGGTCCTTTTCATTAAAGTATCTTCTTGGACGTTAATTACATCCCCTTTCTCCTAGCCAACTTGTGTTTAATAAGTATTTTAATATCTTCCTTCCTTAGTTTAACTGTCAGTATCTCTTTTTGTTTCTCGGTGAGATCCCATCCAACAGTAACTTGTTTGTCTTCCTTTGTCTTCAAATACAAATATATGTTCTTTGCCTTTGCAAGTGATCATTCTAAAGAATTAGGAAATTTAGATATTATATTAACAAACCCCAACATTGTTTAGATAAATAAGCAAACCCCTATATTTATATAATGGACAATCAAAATTTCTTTTCAGTTCTTTCAGTTGTGGATAAAACAGACGGGTGATTAATCTGTAAAGTTAGTCCCCAGGGATCTTTATAATACATTCCTCACCTTTTCCAAAGCTAAGCCATGGTGAAAAAAAAGAACATGGTTGCTAAAATATTTAATTATTCATTTCACTTAAGTGTTTGCAGCCTTTTTGCAAAAGTGCAGCATTGAGATGACTCCAATGCTTTTCAGTAAAGCGTTGTAAGTCCAGGTTCTCATTTCAAAATGAAAACGGAAAGACAGATGAATAATACTTATTAAGCAGCCATCACTGAAACAAATATTTTACTCAAGAAAGTCTGCAAGAGGAAGTTTTTTAAAATATATATATTGTTAATGAAATTTGGAAGAAAACTACCAGCTTTCTCATGATCATCTTCCTAATGTAAAATATGAAAGCTGTGGGAAAGACTGTGGGAACATCAAAACCAGTTGATGTTCCAAGGTACCAGAAGTCAGAGGATGCCAATTTTTAATTTCTATCAGTTACCTGGAAACTAATATTAAGCAACAACATGAATACTCTGGATACTGAGAATATATCCATCTGCTGCATCTTCCTGGAATCTCCTTTTGAGACAGCTGAGTTAAAATATTGCAAGCATCTGCTGATTTCATCAGAATATAGCCACAAAATCAGGTAATCTGTCAAATGTTGTCTTATTGTTTGGAAAGATGGGGTGTTCATTTCCCCCCCAAACAGGATTTCCTATGTAAAAAAGTTTAAATATATTCAATCCTGGGGTCTTTATGAAGAAATGTCATGGATCTCTCATCCATATCTAGTGTTGCTCCACTAGAGTAGCTCAGTTATTCCTTCACTTCAAACCTCCGTCGATATTCCAATACAGAAGCTCAGAAGCAACACCGTTCTAACAGAATTGTAGCCTGACATGAAGTCTATTGACAGAGGAGATCTGTTCAGAGAATTGACTTTAAACTATCTGTTGATATTTAAAGGGAAAAAAAGTATCTTCATCAGAAATAGTGTATCTACAACAATTGTAAGACAAATGTCATACATGGCCACAAGATGGCTCAGGGAAAAAAAATCTCCATTATTTTTCTGGTAAAGGGTGAGATTTTATTTTTATTTCTGCATGTTGTATATAAAGCTGCTACATTCTGAAACATATCTGTTACACTCTTTCTCAAATTTACATAATTATTTCTGGATTTTATGAATTTTTCAAACACTTTGGTACGGGTGGAGATATACAAGATGGTAATGTCGAGAAAAAAATGAGCATTCTCAAGATTCTCTGTTGTGTAATACATATTTATCTGGAAATAAACCCAGCTCAAAAAAAATCCTACACTTTTCCCCTATATAAATATGTGTTGTTGTTGTATCTTCTAACTATTAAGAGATTGTAGTCTTGTTTCTGAAAGCCTGGTTGGTGGGCTGGTTAATAGTTTACACTATATAATTCTTAATGCATTTTAAGGTGGAGAGTATATGTTGATCTTCCATTTCTAGAGAGCCCACAAAGGAGTTTTCCATGGGGAAATGTTTTTGAGAAGAAATCAGCTTAGTTCTGCTCAAAAGTGTTCTTAACATAGATTCTTATATCACTGTGTAACACCTATAAAGAGTTATACATTTCAGTCTAGGAGAAGAATAGCTGAAGAATTTTAGTAGCAACAGTAAAGGATATTTTTGTGTGTGCAATAGTTGTGGTCGCAGTAGAAAATGCATGACTAACACATGTTGTTTTCACTCATATCAAAAGCTTAAGAAGCAGTCAACAAGATGAAAAAAATCCAGATGTGCTTGTCTGTCACCTTTCTATTTGCATTTGGAATAGTTTATGAACTGTCCCAAGAACCAGATTGCTTCTTTTTCTGCAATCCAATTTCCAAACATTTCCTGAGGCCCAAAGATGTCATGTCCCAGGGCAGAAGTATCATCTTTCTGGAGACAACTGATCATCTGCAACCTTCTCCACTTGTTTTATGTTCTGTGGAATCTGCTGCCAGAGTTTATCCAGACAGGCCCATCATTTTCTTTATGAAAGGACTGGACAACAACACATTGCCAGTTATAAAGTCTTCTTACCCCTCACTTTTCTTCTTATCAACTATGAAGAATGTTTTCCTTTTTCCTCTTCAGGAGGACAATTTATTCCAGGACACGCCTCTATTGTCATGGTATCTTCAGGTAAGATGGGAAGTGGGAGTGTTTTCTGGATAGCCAGAGAAAAGGGCAACATTAATTCCAACTGACCTATTAGTGGTCTTGCATTTATCAGAAGAAACACTCTTCTTTGGGACTTGTGTTTGACTCCAGCCCCATTTACTCAGTATTTAGAGATCTGGGAACACAACTTCCTTGGTTTTTCAATTGTTACATGATTTTACTACTCTAGTTTATCCACAATACTTCCAGGAATAACCGTGAGACTATGGTTAAAAAAAAAGGACAATCTTGATTCAGAATACTTTCCTAAACATAGAAATTAGATGGAAAGGATTTTACTTGATCTTCATTGCTCTGTTTAAGTTAAGAGGTTGCCTGAACTCTGCAAAATTAATACAGCATATCAGGAAATAACCACATTGGCTCTCTATCCTTTGAAAAATTATTCTCTAAGAACAAAGCCTATCACCAGGTCAGGCTATTAATCTATACAGCTGTGTAGGTTTTCAGGAAAGAGGCTTAAGAATGATCTAATTTCTGACTCATTTATAAGGAGATAACAATTGGATTTGAGATATTTTACATGTGCTTGGAAAAAGCTATCCACGCTGATGAAGTAATTTTTTTGAAAAACATTATGTTATACCTTGTTATGGACATTAAAAGAACAATATGAACATTTTTGAAGCCTTAAACTTTTGCTTATCTTTATTATTTGCATATCTTTATTTGGGAATGGTTTTCACTCTATATAGAATATTGCCTTTAAGTCTGTAAGACTTGCATTCTGAACAAGTTGCAGTAGTATTTATGTACTGATCACAATATGTTATGTTGCTTAAAGCTTTCAGAGAATATTAAGAAAATACAGAAATCAGTATAACATATTAGTGATTTCATTATATATTTTTAAAAAACATACTTTGGTTAGCACAAATACACACACACATTTCTGTGTATGTATGGGTACATATATGTGGGAGTGTACACATACATACATACACACACACATCATGCAACATTTGATTACGTTAGAATTTCAGGAATAAAGCTTATATATACAGTTTAACATATCACATCCAGAACTTGAATCTGTAACATCTTAGCCAAGTTGTTCTATACGGATATGATTTCTTCACTGAAAGAACCAGAACTATTGCTTTATTTTAGCTAGGTGTTATTCCTTGCTTATGTATCGATTTTGAACTTTTTCAGGTCAATACAACAAAGGAGAAATATTGGACCTATATTATTTCTGATGCAATCAGACTTGCAGTAGTGTGGAAATATGGTGGAATTTATATGGACACTGATGTTATTTCCATCAAACCTATCCCAGTGGCTAATTTTTTGGCAGCTCAATCTTCCCAATTCTCCAGCAATGGGGTCTTTGGTTTTCAGCATCATCATTGGTTCATCTGGGATTGCATGAATGATTTTGTTCATAATTACAATGGAGACATCTGGGGAAATCAGGGACCTTACCTATTTACAAGGATACTAAAGAAGCAATGCAATCTTAGAAATTTTGAGAATGTGGAAGACCACATATGTTACAACATTTCCTTTTTGCACCCTCAACGTTTCTATCCTATTCCTTATAAAACATGGGCAAAGTATTACGAAGTATGGATTACAAAGCCAGAGTTCAATCATTCTTATGCTTTGCACTTATGGAACTTCATGAACCAGAAAGAGAAAAAGAATATGACCATTGGAAGCAACACACTTGTGGAAAACCTGGTCAGAACGTATTGTCCTAGTACATATAGATTTGAGCTTCACAAGACACAGATGCCTCAAACTAAAACTAGATAAGGTTGTAAACCTGTTGCTTTTGTGAGTATTCCAGGAACCTGGGGATCCCTTCCTTTCTTTTTACATGCATGCAAGTCTCTGATGCTGGATATTTGAAAGGCCAGGAAATCAAGGCCTCCAAAACCCATAACAGAACATAGTAAATTCTGGGTGGGAAGAGACAGAAGAAACTAAAGCAAGTTAAGACTCCCTCCCCTGATCCATCATGCTACTAACACTCAATGGGAGTTTTGACCAGCCACTCGACTACTCAGAAACATGTGAAATAAGAGGGACACTTTTTTCTCCTATACCAAACAAGAGAGCTCTAATCTTACCTTGAATTTTTTCTATAATTCCAGCATATCATAACTGTGATTTGAAACTCAGTAATCCTACAAATATTAATTTGGTAATCTTTGAAGATATTTAACACTGTCAGAAATACAGGGAATAAATGAGCAAATATACCTTTATTTGAGCTCAGGAAATATATAGATTCTTTTTACGATTTTCCAAAGGAAAATCTTTTCGCCATTTTCATTTCACACTAGAAAATTAAAGACTATGTTGTACTGATGGCAGACCTGCTATATGGAAAGCAGTCACGTGCAATTGCTAAGAACTGATATTTGTTATTTTTAAAACAAAATAAAATCAATACTTTTAATTGTATGTTATTTGTTGAGGTAATTCCCCATTAGGAGAATGAGCGCGTACATGGAGACGTATTTGAGAGTAGTGTTTGAATAATACACACACAGCACACAGATACACTGTACAGTAAATGTAGGTTTTTACTTCCAGAAATGGTTTAAGCAAAGTCCAAACAAGCAATCCAAAGTCATTCACAAGTAAATCAGTCAGTTTTCAATCCAGGATAATCCAATAACAAAGTCCAGTGTCAAAAACAGTTCAGTATCAGACTTACATCAAATCCAGGAATAGCAGTCAATTAAGAGGAACAGCAATATTCTCCAATAGAAGGAAAAAAAGACTCACTGAGACTGCTTCTGAGACTAAGACAACCCAGGTTTCTGGCTCCATCTTATGGCCATTTGAGAAAGCACACCCAATTACAGTTTTGCATTTTCTTAAAGATACAATATTAAAATGTCTATCCTGGTTTATATATTTCCAACCCAAATAGCTGTTTGGTGACTTACATTCCTTACATTCCTTGATGTTTTATTGTTAAGCATATAAATACTTCTAAGGAAACTTGTCTTTGAATAAGGGAGGATAAGTTGCAAATCAGAGATAAGATGATAACCTTTTATCATAGTTTCTAGTATCTCTGTAAAAGCCACTCATGATTTTGAGGTAGCAATGAGGACATTATATGAGGACTTCTTAAGGATAGATTTGTGCTTGGAGCACCAACTATAAACTTACAAGTAATTTATTTCTATTCCTTTTAACAGCAACCTATGGAATGTTTCTTTTATCAATTCTCTTTGATGAAGGTTATAAAATTATCATTACTGATAAGATTTACATCTTCAGAGATGCCCATTGCACTTTTACAACCATATTTCATAATGTACAATTGCAATGTCATCTCTGGCTATGGAAATAATAATTTCATATTTAATGTTTTCAGCTGAAAACAAGAATGGTAAAGAAACTTCAAAGCCAGTAACTTGATATTGCTTCATGTCAAATGAAAATATGTTTAACATTAAGAAAAAAGACTAGGAATGGGATATATATTATCTATCCATAACATGTTTATTTCTTATCTGTAATCTGAATATTTTCTCCAATAGGGTATTTAAACAGGACACTTAAATAGACATGCTCTTTCACGTGGAGTTATTCTAGTTAGCATTTAATGGAGCACTACATTCCTAATAGCAAATCTGCTAAGCTATGTCTCTCCATGAACAGGATCACACTTACTAGGAAGAATATCTCATAGGATCTATTTTGCAATTCAGCCAGTTTTCCATTTCAAGTAAGACTATGCAATATACACATGCACACATGTCTCTTGGAACCAAGCTCTCTTACTCAGCTGGTGGGTCTTCTCTGCTGGCTCCTCATTATTCCTTCAGATTCTTCTGGTATCTTCTGAAATTTAAAATGTATTTTTCATTTATAATAAATTATGTTGAAAACTATTTCTAATGTTTGGAAAAATAAGCTTAAATTCTCAGGCACCATGTAAAATACTCTCTGTAGGCAAAGCCAAACCCAATAATTAGCAAAGCGGTCATACAACAGTCTCTTCTGATGCAGAGCTAGTAATAGAGAAAGGAAATAAGGGAGAAGGAATGGGGAAATTGTCAGCAGATATTCTCTGACTTTTTTTCATCTATGTTTGCTGGCAACTTTATAACTGGACAGTATTGCAATTGTGATAATGATGAGAAAGGTTGCTGTGCAAGGGGTGGGGGGTATTTAAAATGTTGAGAATACAGTACTGACAGGTTTGAAATGTGACATTTCTGTATTGTCAGAACAACTGCATACATAATGAAATGAATAGATGAACTGAATGAATGTAATGTTAATGTGAAATGAAATTAGTTTTTTTAATCATTTGGTATATAAGAATGTCATTTACAATTATTGAAGTACACATCACTAAAGTATACATGGTTTTCTCATTGTTGTGTATACTATGTTATGGATACATTTCTTATTCATTTTTCAATGATCAGTTGAAGACCTCAAGATGTCATAAATTTGTCTAAAGCTGTGATTTTATTCTTAATAACCAGGGTGTAATCCCCAGTGTATTACTCCAAATAGACAGGTATAGAAACAAACAATAGTGGTACCTCAGCACTCATTGTTAATTGGTTCGGGGAGGTGCAATGAGTACCAAACAAATTTTTCCCATAAGGAATAATGTAGTGAGCCACAAGACAGCCGACAGTGACAAGTTCTAGCTTGTGTGTTGACTACCAAACAATGAGAATAAGGACAAAAATTTTGGGTTAAAATGAGTTGAGTACCAAATTTGATGACTTTCAAAGCAATTAAGTACCAAAGGACTACTGTATGTAGAAATGTTAGATTTTGACATGTACTAACATTGTCTAATGATGAAGCTAAGTAAGATCAAAAGGATGTAGTGTTTCTCAACTGTGGAAACTTTTTGCTGGGTGGATTTCAACTCTAAGAATTCCCCGACCAGCATTTTGGGGAGTTGAAATTCACACACCTTAAAGTTACCAAGATTGAGAAACACTGATCTAGTACAATTTAGTACTGCTCTCTTCTGACAGCAAGGATGGAGGTAGACTGTTACATTTCTGCTTTTGGTTTAGGAAAACAAATCACAAGTTTATTTTAAGAGAAGTACAAGAATGAAATTCAGGGAAGAGATATATACTAGTTTATGGATAGATGTGAATTAGAATTGGTTATAATTTAATTACAGAATGTTAGCACACTTCAATAGAAAAGATTCTCAAGCTGATCTATGCACAGTGAGGAGGCCTGAGCTGTGCCAAGGTTAATTCTGTGGCTGGACTTGATGACGAAACAGCTTCCTACTTAATATAAGGTTAGTCCCCACACTGTAATAAGCTGGGGTTTTTTTTCTTTCTTTATTCTTAACATACAATTACTTTTATGTGCCATAAAAGGTTCCACATTTTTCCTTTTTAGAACCTGAAAAGAATTATTTGATATGTTCTACACACCCAGAAAGGAACTTCCTTCCTTGATTCTTTCACCATTTAGTTCAAGGGTCTTCAAACTTGAGAGCTTTCAGGCTTGTGGACTTCAAACCCCAGAATTCCTCCTCCAGTCGTGTTAGCTCAGGAATTCTGGGAGTTGAAGTCCACAAGTCTTAAACTTGCCAAGTTTGAAGAGCCTTGTTTTAGTTAAACTTTAAAAATGCAAAAAGAAAGGAACTTTCCCGCTTTCTCTCATCAGTGCCTAATCGTTTTGGAAGGCTTCATTTATTCTCTGAGGTTTATTAAGGGATGCTTCTTTTTCCATCCTTTAGAAATGTAGAATGGTTCAGCTGCTACTTGGGCTTTCCTTGGAGGGCCCAGCAGCAAATTAAAGGATCTCTTTCTCCCCATTCAGGGGCATTTTGTTGGTTCAACGTGGCACACACGGCTACAATTGAAGCTCTCAACAGAACGCAGCCCCAACCTTTGGACTTGCGTCCTCTCTGCTGGTAGTGATGAGACACCAAACCAGAAACGGCTTTGTTATTCAACAAGCGAAGCCTTAATCGACCTCTGAGGATCGATATTTTAACAGACTGTGATTGTACGATCCTCCCTCGTTGTACACTGTGGATAGATTACAGCCGGAATGAGGCTTAAACAAGCAAGAGAAAGCAATCAGATGCCGTGTTTTCATAAATTACTACAGCAACAGCTTGGCTTGGGGGACGCTTTACCAGCTGTTTCCAGTCCTCCTGGGAGAAGCTCCGCGGGCGCAGCGAGAGCCTCGGAATTGCTTTCAGGCTTCACCTCTGACGTTGCAAATTTCGGGCCGAGAAAGTGATTCGTTGCTGTGGGGAACCGGCGCTGGGATCTTTGCCTGGATGGTGTTGAATTTCCTGGGTGGGAGGGGAGAGACGGAGGATTTCAGCGCCGACTTTTGTCTCCAGCCCCGCGCTGTTTGTACCGGGCCTTTTTAAGCGCGAGTGCAGGCACACAATCACATAACACATATATACCGCCCTGCTTCACAAAATATGCTTCCTGCGGGCAGGTAAGGATTTGCTTTGTTGGAAATGTAGTTCCCGTGCTTTACTGCCAAAAAAGCTGGAGAAGGGGAGGGAGAAGAGGAGATGGGACTACGCCTTGCTCAAGCCAGTTCCTTCTTCTCATACATATGTGCATCGTTTGCTCGGTTAATCATTACCAGCTTGTTCATTGCTGAACCTCTGGCATATCGGAATAATAATATTGGCTACTGGAACAGGGGATGAAGTGATCTCCCTCGGCGATCCCTTTTCCCCAGCCCAACTTTTCTTCGGAAACCCTTTCCTTTGCAACCGTTTCCTTAGGCCCGGAGAATGCGAGGTCCCTGGAGAATGCTTGGCTTATAACCGGGGGGCGGGGGTGGTAGGAGGAGGAGGATGGGGGCTTGAAAGGAAACCGAGGAAGTGTGTCGGGTACGGTTTGGTAACAAAGTGGCATTCTGGATTCTCGAGTGGCGCTTCTTGCTCAGTCGGAAGCCGCGTGTGGGAGGCTGCTGGCCTCAAGAAGTTACTTAGCTTGGACCGTCAATCGAGGCCCGTTGCCTGTCTGTGGCCCTTTTTGTGGAGGCTTTAGCATCTCTTAAAGTCTCTTTTAAAAAGGGGCTCGCGTTTCCATTTTGGAAAGGAAAGGCTGATCATCGGCTGGTTGTGAAGACAAGAGATTCGGTAGAGTTGGACAGATTGTGGCCTCCATCCAGAGATGGAGATGCACAGATCCCAAGCCTCTTGTAACCTAAATACTGAATCCTCTTGGGTACTATACCAATCTGTATACTAGCACAGGTTAGTCCTCTTATGACTGCAATTGAGCCCCAAATTTCTGTTGTTAACAAATGTTAGTGAGACATTTGTTTTCTGAGTTTTGCCCCATTTTATGACCTTTCTTCCCATGGTTGTTAAGTGAATTTCTGCAGTTGATAAGCTAGAAACCCAGTTGTTTAGTGACTCTGGCTTCCCCATTGACTTTGCTTGTCAAAAGGTTTCAAAAAGGGATCACATGACCCTAGGATCAGACAACAATCATAAATATGAGAACCAGTTGCCAAGTGGCTGGATTTTGATCACGTGATCATGGGAATGCTACAATGCTTGTAACTATGAAAAATGATCATGTTACTTTTTTCAGTGAACCTTGAATGTTCACTAAATGAACTGAACAAGGACTACCTATACATTCAGGTTGACCTGAGTGAGGTCAAAATAACAGCTGCCATATCTCATCCCTGAGCTGAGGCAGAGGTCTCCAACCTTGACAACTTTAAGACTTGTGGACTTTAACTCCCAGAATTCCTCATCTACACCCTTTGTCATTTTAAAGTTGCTAAGATTGAGAAACTCTGGAATAGTCGCTCTTAAATGAAAGGAGAAGTAACAGCTGTATTGAACATGTCTTATCCATCAATCAACAAATGAGGATTCTATATTATTTTAGCCACCCAGAGTCATTTGCTACTACTGTAGATAGGCAGCAAATAAATACATAAATAAATGTGTTGTGTGAGCTGCTTCAGGGCAAGATAGGTCTGCAGCTCTTGTATGAATTCCATGTCTCATACATTGAAACCAGATTATATAGGTTAATCATACAAAGTGGGCATGACCCAAAACCAAGCTTCTTGCTTTAGAATCACTATTTATAAAACATAATTCACATATGTAGGCTTTGTAATGGTCATACATGGTTTTGCCCAAAATACATATAGTTTGCTTCCAACCCCCCAAATAACTCTCCTGTCCCAAAGATGGGATATCAGGTGACTGTTAGGTGATCTGTATGACATGAATCACCAGCTAAATTTACAGTATATTCACTTCAGATTGACATAGCTGAGTTCTCATTAGTGAGGGTGTGCAAGATAGAGGAACTCAGAACATGTCACACTATCAGGATATCCTTCAATTCAAGATGCTTATTTTACCCAACTTGTCCATTTTGTTTTTTGTTAATATGCTGTGCTTTGTGTTATTATTTTTATTTCAGTTAAAATTAGCATCCATGCTCAGTCTATGAAAAAAATTAATTCACAGACATCTAGCTAGGAAGAAGTAATTTGTTTAGGTACAGAAGGTTTGATTTTTAGTTGCCCAGATTAAAGATGTAAAAATACATCTAAATGTTTATTTGTGCTATTTCTCCAATATTAAAGGTAATGGGGGAAATGTGCTAGTTTTCAAGCCTTCTGCTGAACATTTTTCCATTGTTAAATCATTTAGCATCTTTTCCTTTGTGCTTCTACTCTTGAACAGTATTTGAATTTAATTTTTTCCCCCAAAGCACTTCAGAAACAGTCCTTGGGTTTTTTTTTCACGACTTGTTTTCCTTATTACTTTTCTGGAAAGAAGCTTTGAGGTATCCAATTCGAAGCAGAACATTCAGATTCAGTGACAGGTTTTTTTTTTTTTTCATATAACATCAACCTTGTGAACTCTCAAGCTTCTTCTTTCCACTATGTATTCAAAATGGACAGTGATTAGTGTGTATGTGTGTGTTTGTTTGTATGTATATAGCACGTGTATATGTGTGTTGTGTATATGGCAACAGAATTTCAGTTTTAATGGGTGTCAGTGTGCTCACAGTAAAAAATGACAATAAAAGTTATTTTATCTTACAATGTAAAGAATTTTTATTTTATCATTGAGAGAACTTTCCATTGGACCAGAGTATATTTGCACTGCTATTGGCAGAATGTTGGAATCCTGTTACCATTATACAAGACACACCTGGTAACTCACTGTTGCTCAACACAACTGTCCCATTGCAGATAAGTAACAGAACCAAGTTGATTTTAACAGCTTTTCTGTGTTGAAATCATGGTATGTATCTTTTCGCAAACCATTTCTCCATCTTTTGCCTGAATGCTAGAGAAAGTGTAGTGAGTACAGTATATCAAAAATTCATTTTTCTGTTTAGCATTAGAGGAATTGTATGCTATGATTTCAGTCCTGTGTAAACTTATGTGGACACCACTACTTCCATTGAATTTACCAAGGGAAATGCTTTTATTTATTTATTTGTGCTGTGAAAGATAGTGTAATGTTTACAACAATTTTACATGCCCTTATTTAAATTATTTTTAGATTCTATGGGGCATTTTTAATAATATGCTAATAATACCTCAAACTTTACTGAATGATAACCATTACTTGAAATTATGTAGGTTTTCCTAAGCAGACCTCAACACATCTAGCTTGATCCTTGGCTAAATGTATACAGAATACCATATTCTGTAAACATGAAATAATTTTTGATATAGTAATATCTGTAAAATAATAAAAAGCCTCCATATTTTATTCAATGGTAAACAGAGAAATCAATATATTACTAGAGTTAAATTATGTTTATGTTCTAACAATTACTCTCACATATGTTAAGGTAACATGCTCTTTGTAATGTAAACTTTCCTTATAATATTAAGTAGTACTGTTTCCCACTAGGGCAGTATCCTTGAAATATTCCCTTCTAAATCACATTCTCAGTTCTGAAGTGTTTACATACCTATGTGGTCAATACAGCTGCTTTTTGGATATTACTGAAATTTTCATCCTCAAGCTTATGGGTCTGCAAACACATATCTGTACTTAGATTGATTTTTCACTATACAGAGTTCAGTAGTGCTTTTCTTTTCTTTTTTTTTTAATAAAGTTTTATTTGGGTTTTCGCACATACAAAATACAAGTAAAACATCTTTTTTGAAAATAGCATGGTCCCGGGTTGAACTTCTTTATACAGACAAAAAACTCAATTTCATGCTCCTTTTTGTGTTCTATGGAATGTGTATTCCATATTTTATACTATTCTACATTTTTTATATAGTTTTTCCCTTCTTTTAATTTTCTCAATTTTATTTTGATTATCTCATCTCAGTTCGAATCATTATATTTATACTTTTGTGTGTTCTGTTTCAATTTCATATTATCTTTTCTCATTAAACAAATTTTCTCCTGTAGTTACTAACTGGAGTATGACACCTTTGTATCTTTTAATTACATCCATTCAACTTTTATTTAAACTTCAATATATACCTTAAGGTTATGACCTTCAATATAATACATAACTTCCAATCGAATTCTGCTTTGGTACATTCTTATAATACACACTATATTATTTTAAAAAAAAGATTATAAATATATGTAATTATAAACCCTCATTCCATTCCAATTCAGTTCTATCATTAATAACCATTAAAATCTTAACATCTTTAACACTTCTTTTCAATTAAATATCATACTTCCTAAAAGACACATATAATCTCCATAATTAATTTTTCCCTTATTTCTCTTCACATATGTTTTGTAAATCATTAAATATTCATTTTGTTACATTTATTTATTGACAGGCATTCCACTGAATTACGATAGCTATTTTATCAAACATTTTAATCATACATTGTTTCATATTTTCTAAAATTATTTCTGCTTCTAATATAACCATACTATCTTATGTACCTTTGCAGAATCCCTTTTTCCATTAAATTTTCACCCATTATCTCTAAATAGGCCCTGTTTCTCTATATTTTGTTTCTGTCCTTTATAACTTCTTTTCCTTTCTTTCTCCCCCTCATCTTCTCCCTCCCCTTTTTACCCCCTTGTCTCTCTACTTCTAATTCTTTCTTCTGCATTTCCCTCTTCTGTTGCTTTCTGATTTTATACTTATTTTTCACTCTATTTTTTGGAGTTGTTTTTTCCAATCTTAAACTTTCCATTCTCTTTCTCCCCTTTCCTTTTTTCCCCCCACCTAAAATTACTTGTTCATTAAAGATGGCCTCTTCTTTGGCACAATCTTCTTGTTCTGCAGGCATTTCTTGTTGTTTTTCATCATTCCAAATCTCCATTTCTAAAAACTGAAATATGAAGCCAAAAGAACCTCTCCCTTCTTGTACATCTTCTTTGTAGTTTTTAAGTTCTGTTTTCAGTTCTTCTATAAAAGTGGAGCCATTTTAAACAGTTTTAAACAACCACCTGATTGATTTTAGTCATTCAAATACAATAACCAAAACTCCAGAAATCATCAAGTAATCCAAATAGTCCCTAGTTATATCTCCTTATTTCTTTTTCCACTTTCTCTTCCTGGGGTTTTTGTTGCAATATTTCAGTTAGAATGTATCTTTTGGAAGTCTTGTTGAGATTTTGCTGTAAGCTCTTTTTAATTCCAGGCAGTCTCCTCCCTTCCAGATCCTGCCCTTTTATTCTTTTTCTCTCCTTTCCTGTTTTCAAAAGCTTTTGATTATCCAGAAATCTTTATTATCCCTTTAACTTTTTATTTTCAGCATTAAATACCTATTAATGTCAAAGTGGATTTTTTCCAATTTCTTGCTTAAATCTCTTAGCTGTCAGTATAGGAAAAGGAGAAAAGAAAACCAAATCTTTTCCCTTTTCTCTCTCCTTCGCAGTTTAAAAATCTTCTTAGGGAACAATGTTTTTGTTTTTT